TTTGGTGTTGAGTTGTAATTTTATTCCCTTGTCTGAGAGCAGGCCATCACTTCAATGTTTCTGAATTAGGACCAGTTTGGTTTGTTATCTAAAGTGTGGTCTATTTTGGAAAATGTCCTGCATGCTGCTGAGAAAAACGTGTATTCTGATGCTGCTGGGTGTGATATTCGGTTGATGTCTATTAAATTTAGTTGATCTATTCAGTTGTTTTTATCTGTGGTTTTTGCACAGTTGATTTATCTAGTGTGGATAGTGGGATATTAAAGTCCCCAACAATTAATGTCTTTTGATCTATGTGAGATTTTATGGAAAGTAGTGTTTCTTTGATAAATTTGGGTGCTCTGTTATTTGGTAAATAGATATTTAGAACTGTAATATCTTCTTGAAGGAGAGATCCCTTAGTTAGTATGTAGTGACCTTCTTTATCTCTTCACACTAATTTTAATTTTAAGTCTATTTTATCTCATATTAGGATGGAACTCCTGCCTGTTTATGGGAGTCATTTGCTTGGTAGAATTTGTTCTAGCCTTTCACTTTCAGAATGTTTTTATGGGCAAGGTTTGACTCCTGAGCCATCAGATAGAAGGATCTTCCTTTTGAATCCTAGGAAACAGTCTATGTCAGTTAATTAGTGAGTTAAGTCCGTTAATGTTGAGAGTTAGGACTGAGAGGTATTTGGGAGTTCCTTCCATGTTATCCATTTTCCTGTGGGTGTGGCAACTGGGTTCTTCTTATGGTTCTTGGATTCTCCGTTTGGGTGCAGTTTTTTGGCCTTTATTGTGGTCTTGTTTTCTATGTGTAGGATATCTTTATATATCGTTTGTAGGGCTGGTTTGGTGGAGAATTATTGTTTCAGTTTTTTTAAATTTTGCTATGAACGTTTTTGTTTGACCTTCAATTATGAAGGAGAGTTTATCTGGGTACAGTATTATTGGTTGATAGTTGTTTGTCTTTAGGACATGGCATACATCTTTCGAGGCTCTTCTTGCTTTACTTGTCTCTGCTGAGAAATCTGAGCTGATTTTAATTGGTTTCCCTTTATAGGTGATTACCCTTTTCTCCTTGACAGTTTTAAAGATCTTTTCCTTGGTTTGAATTGCAGATTATAATGTGATGGTGGGATATCCTGTTCTGGTCAGGTCTATTTGGGTTCTTCAAGCTTCTTGTATCTGAATAAGCCTATCGTTTTGCATGTTTGGGAAGTTTTCTGCTAGGATCCTGTTAAACAAATTTCCTAGACTATTAACTTCTGTGCTTAGGTGCTCCTCTACATCCATTATCTTTAGATTAGGCCTTCTGATGGTGTCTTCCAAATGTTGAATAGATCTGTCATATTTCTTGGATTTGTCTTAGATAGTTGTATGTTCTTTCTCTATAATATGTAGGCTGTCTTGAATCGCCAAGGGTTGATCTTCTGCATGGTCTGACCTACAGTCAAGGCATTCTACTTTTTTTTTAATTGTTTTTCCTTCTAATTGGTCGGCTTTGATGGCCTCAAATTCTTTGTTGGAACTTTGTTTTAGATCTTGTATGAACTTCTTTACTTCCTTAATTTAGTGTTCAGTGTTTATTCTCAAATCACTTAGTTGATTGGTTATGGTTTCCTTGGAATCCCATTCCTTCTGTTGGGCTCCGTTCAGCATTCCCTTTGTGGCCTCCTTGAATTTTTTCAGCTGTCTGTTTATGGATTCCATGAATGCCTCTATTGATCTTTGTTTTTTACCATCCTGCTCCCGCAACTCCTGTACTACACTTTGATTAGCTTCCTCCCGATCATGCAATTCCTTCAGTTCTCATTGACTTTTCTCAGCCTGCTCAAGCAATTCCTGTGTCTCTCTTTGTTCTCTGCCTGCTCACACAATTCCTTTATTTCACTTTGACTGTTCTCAACCTGCTCACACAATTTCTGTATCAATCTTTGAGTAGCTTTCTCATGCTCACAAGATTCCTGTATTGATCTTCGGTTTGCCTCCTCTCTCTTCCTGTCATTCTTACGCTGAGTCCTTTGCAGGTTTTCAAACTTTTCATTCACCATGTTACCAGTAGTGTTTGTAGAACTTTTTGGGAACTCCCTTCTATATTATTGTTCATGAACTGTTCTGTCACCTGATTATCATTAGTGGGAGTTGAGATACCCGGACTTGCCATTTTTCTTGTGTTTTTCCAGCTTGTTCTGCCCATTTGGTATGAAAGTAACACCAATTTTGTGTTATAACTCTATTTTAAGGCAAGCATCAACCAAAGTCCTGTAGTTGCACAGTCAAAAGTCTGCAGATACAATCTAGTTCAACAGATACAATCTATTCAACATCAAACAACTATGGATTCATGGGTTAAGAACAGCAAGGAAGAATTTGACAAACCAGAAATTATTAGGCTTAAGGAGAAAAGTGGATAAAAGAAGGATTAGAGGGATGTGGAGACGTAAAAGGAGAATGAATTTAACAATGTCTTAATCTCAGAGAGAGAAATAGATTGGACAGTACGCTAAGAGAGACCTTAAAAAGTCACTCAAAAAAGAAAGAGAAAAAAAGAAAGGAATGAAGAAAGAAGAAAAGAAAAGGGCCAAAAGGTCAATAGTGATGAATATTTTTCTTCCATTTCAGTTTGGAAGTCCTTAGTGATTTGGTCCAATAAGATGCACAAGTTGGCTAATTGTGAGCTCTGGAGATTGATTCTCCTAAGGTCATATGGAAGTCGATGATGAATCAATCCTTTCCCACCTTCACTTGAACATCTCCTGGGCAGTTCCAAGAATTTCTCACATTAAACTAAGATGTGGCTATCAAATTGGTATAGATTGCTCTCAAAGCCTCTGAGCATTCTAGGCAACACTTGTGTTGCTCTTAATGTTTGTTTCTTCCAGAACGTTATCTCTCCCTGAACCAGGGGAGAAAATTTCTCTCAGGTCTTATCAAGATTATGTAGAACCTGGGGGCAAAGAGGCAGCCTAGGAGGCCTGCACTGGAGGCCAAAATGGAGAAGACCACCACAGCCACCATGACCTTCCTCTTGGTGCTGTGATAGACAGTCAGGAAAGTGAGCCACACACTACAGAACACCAGCATGCTGAAGGTCAGGAACTTGGCCTCATTGAAGGTATCAGGGAGGTTACTGGCCGGAAAAGCCACAGTGAAGCTGGCCAGGGCCAGAGAGCCAAGGTATCCAAGGACACAGTAAAAGAGAGTGAGATTGCCCATGTTGCACAGGATGATGATGCATCCATGTTCAGAGTGTGCATCTTTGTCCACAAAGGGAGGAGAAATTCGCAGCCAGAGTCCACAGAGGGTTACCTGGATAAGGGTGCAGATGGGGATGAAGAGGTTAGGAACTCAGAACAGCAGCCACTGCCTGGTGCTTCTCCCTGGAGCAGTGAGCATGAAAGCCAGAACCACGATGATGGCTTTGGCCAGGACCATGAAGACAGCCATGGTGAAGACCACTGCAAATGTGGTGTGCTGGAGGATGCATGAGGCTGAATGGGGACAGCCACGGAACAGCAAGGAGCAGAGGAAGCAGCAGATGAGGGAGATGAGCAGGATGTAGCTAAGGTCCCAGTTATTGGCTTTGACAATGGGGGTGTCTTGGTGCTTGATAAACACCCCAAGAACAGCAGCTGTGAGTGCAGAGCAGCAAAGAGCTGTGCAAGCCAGAACCATACCCAAGGGGTCTTCATAAGCCAGGAAGCCCTCAGTTTTCATCAGCTAGTGGTTTCTCTGGGTATTGGAAAACTGATCATCTGCGTACCTGACACACTGCTCCATGTCTAGTGAGGTGTGAGAATCACTATTGGTTTGTGTTCAGTATTTGCCTTTCCTCTCAACCCCCTTCTTTCAAGTAACTAGCTCATTTTCTCTGATTCACCAGTTGACCTGTATTGAGTTCAATACCAATAGAGTAACTCTCTATACCAAAATGCTTTCACATCATATCTCTTTCTCACATTTCTTCTTCTTTCTCTCCTCCCTTTCCGTTTTTTATGTTTATCTATTTCTTTCTTTCTTTCTTTCTTTCTTTCTTTTTTTTCCTTCCTCCCTCCCTCCCTCCTTCCCTCCCTCCTTCTCTCTTTCCCTTTCTATCTCCTTCCTTCCTTCCATCTGTCTGTCTTTCCTCCAGTGCTTGAACTCTGGCCATGGGATGTTTTCATGCTCAAAACTACCACTGTACCACTTGAGCCACAGCTTGAATTACAGCTTTTTGGGTGCTTAGTGTTGGGAAAGAACCTTACTGAGTTTCCTGTGCATTATTACATCGAAGCTCCATCCTCAAATCTCAACTGTCTGATTCGCTTGGATAACAAGCGTAATATATAATTACCAACATTATGTGTTATGTGCTGCATTTTTTGGGTCCGCTCGTGGGGCCTAAACTGTGGGCCTGGGCACCATCCCTCAGCTCTTCAGCTCAAAGCTAGTGACATTTTTTTCCTTATGTGGTGCTGAGGAATCTAACCCAGGGCCTCATGCATACAAGGCAAACACTCTCCCACTGAGCCAACTTCCCAGACCTATGTGCTTAATTCTTGACAGGTGATACCACTCTGCCTTTCTGCTACTCATTCAAGACATAATGGAGAAAAGAGAATTAGGCCAACCACTTCACTTTGTACAAGAGGGTCTAATGCAAAACTCAACATACTCCTTACACCAAACACGAACTTCCTGAGTATTTGATCTGTTTCAAGAAAAATGGTACTCCACTGATATGACAGAGTCTGAGACCAGCTGGAGGAGGGAGAAGAGAAATGAAATGGAGATGGTAAACTACTTCTGAATATTTTATATTTGAAGAATTGCTACTCAGCCTAGTGCCAGTGTCAGACATGGAGTTATCATAACAAAGCCCCTTGTATTATTAGTGCATGCTAAATAGAAAATAAAATTTAATTATAAATGAGCAGCAATAGGCACTCAGAAATGAAAGTCTGTGTTAGATCCACAATTTCATGTTGATTTGCATATCATTTCAAAGATCAACATCTGGTCCTTGATAATTTCTTTTTTTATATTTTCTTTTTTTCAGTCTTTACCTTTTATTTTCTTCCATTTCACACTTTTTTATTAAATATATAATATTGTAAAGATACTGTACAGAGTGTTTACAGTTACATGAGTAAGGTAATGAGTACTTTTCCTATTGAACATTTTCCCCGTCCTATTTTTTATCTTTTTTTATTGTGAAAATACTGTTCAGAGGAGTTACAGTTACATGAGTTAAGTAATGAGTACATTTCCTATCCATCATTGTTGCCTCATCCTTTGTTGTTTCCCCTACCATCCCTTCCTTCTCCACCTCTCCAAATACTCCCCAACCCTGCCAAAGTTGTAAAGTTCTTTTTCAATATAGTGTCTTGTACATCTCATGGTTACAATAGGTCAACCTGCATCCCTATTTAAGCAGTTTGTTTTTTCCTTGCCCTCCCCAATTAGAAAAATGTATATACGTGATTCAGGGCACCAGAATCCAATACATTTAAAGCAGGGGTTATATAATGGGGGAGGAACATACCAAAGAAACAAAAAATCACATAGTACATTATAAATACATTAAAAAAGAGAGAAAAAAACCACTTGTGTCCCTATGTTGGCATTAATTTCGCTTAACATCAACTTATAGGGAATTTTAGGATCTTTCTACAACTACTTCATAATAACAATATATTTTTGTTTTACAAAAGGAGAGCGTGAAAAAATAGAAATGACCCACCTTGGTAATTCCTACGGGCCACTCTGTCAGATTTTTTTTTTAAAAAATCAGTTGTTGACCATGTGGCCTGGATAAAGAAAACTTGCCAACTTTCACCCTTTGTCCCAGATCTTCTGGAAAATTCCAAAACCTCATAATGTTATACTCTACCTCACATTTCCTTTCCTCATTCAAAACCCCGTGGTCTCCAACAGGATTGGTAAACTGGATCTTCTTCAAAAATGGATGCAGCTAAAAGGGACACATTACAGTATGGTGAAGTGCTTCACAGAGTTATCACAGAACCCTAGAACAATGGATTACTCTTCATTCCCACCACCTGATTCACACACACCACAGGAATCCAACCTACTGTATCAAATGCAGGCCCACAGCAGACTAAGGTGTTACCAAGTTCTAAATCCTGAGTTTCCAGGATGGGATGCAGAAACTCAATTTCAAGAGAATGAAACTCCATCCATATCCAAGCAAATAATGAATTATCATATGACAGATCTCAAAGGACACTCTAAATTGCATTCCAATCACTTATTTTGTGATTGTGATCAGAGAATCAGTCTGAAAAATAGGTAAAGAATAAACTATGTAGAATCATAGAATATTTTTGACAACTATGAAAGATTACCTTAAGCAAGACTTCGTTCACTGTGTGTGTGTGTGTGTGTGTGCTGCCTTGTGGTTCAATCTCAGGGACAAGGCAGTTAAATTGAGATGGAGTTTTTCATTCTTTTCAAAGTAATCATTCTATGCATTGAGCCACATCTCCCCCTCTGGCTTTTTGGTGGTTAATTGTAGTCAGGTTTGAGCCACAGGTGTGAGCCACTTGTGCCCAGACAATATTAGGTTTTCAAGAATTAGTCACCCTTGATTTGTTAATTTAAAAATGTACACGGAGAATTTGAATATATCCTATTGAAAAGGGATTGTTTTTACACACATAGTGGGGATGAAGACAGTAAACACAGCACTTCCTTGTCACGATTTAGCGTTCTTCAGAACATTGTCTTCACAGCTCTACAATCACTTCACGGAGAGCACAACAGGCCCAGAGTGTCTTGTATTTTCCAAATTGGAGCCAGACGACCTGGTTCCATCTGCTATGAAAGCTTCTATAGAAAGTCTGCATGCCTAGAGTAGGTCACCCAAAAGCAAAGCCTTTACCTGTGAAGAGAGAAATGCCCTGGGTTGCCCATTGTGCACTGGTGGCTCTTCCTTGTGACCAAGAAACATCTGGTGGAGGGCATGGGCCACAGCATACACAGCATTGTAGATTTTGTAACTCTCTTCTGTAATTAAAATTTGCCTAAATTTAAGAATAAAGCTTAGTAGAAATTCACTGTCCCCATAAATGATAATCACATTGATGGATGAGTCCATTAGCTGGCATTGCATAGACTGATCATTTGAGAAATCTGAAAGGGCACTGTAAGTGATCTTGTTTTCAAAGGTAAAACAGAATCCATTTTTGCCCATCTCTTCTCTCAAATCTGAGAGGAACCACACACCATACTTGTCTTTGGTGATGAACAGTCCCACCCAGTTCCAGCTGAAATGAAGCATGGAGGAGTCCATGACCAGGGCTAGACTTGAGTCCTTTGCATCCATCTGATAGACAGTACCTGACTTTCCATGGACACTCAGGAGAGGATCAAAGACCCAAAGGTGAACTACAGAGAACAAATGAGCACAACATCAGGAATTGAATGGTAATAGGCAAATCTCAGTCCTGATGTGAATTACACAACTGGCAGTACAGTGGTGGGAACAAAAGTTTGCTTATCCCATTTGAAAAGTCATCTGCCATGTTCTGAGCTCTTTGTAGATATGTACAGATAAGGTTCAGAGCTTTGTGTCATCCTTTCCTCTCTTAACACCTCTCCTTTTATTTGCAGCAATGAAAATGTGTATGTCCAACCCACTTTTGGAGGCTTCTCCCTGTGAGATTATGCATTTGGAAGGGTTTGTGATTCCACCTCTTCAGCCTGTCGAGGACTGAGTCAATGTAGACATTGCTTCACATCTGCCCACCCCTCCCAGCCTTACCTTGGAAGTTTGTAGAGGTCTAGCAGTATCCTTATTGGGACGAATGTGATTGGGGTTCCTGTGAGTGCCGTTATAGCTTTGCTGTCTCTTCTAAAGGTGCAATTAGGGATGTTTTATTCTTTCCAGACATCCAGGTGAGAGGATCCTCTAACAGATCAGTACCTGAGTATTGTTCACTATATATCTCAAACACCAAAGTCATGTTGGGTATCAGGTGGGGATTCTTGTTGATCTCCTCCACAGCCAGCAGCAGGGTGGGAAGCAATTGGTATTTCTTTAAGTTGATCCCGCCCAGAGGACACAACATTTGGTTAGGTATAGGAGTATTACAAATGATTAACTGAAAATCTCTTGACTCTGTTGAATCAAATGCTTAACTCTCCACACAGTAATAGTTGTAGATCCTATCTTCCAACAGGACAGCATTATAATTTGGAGTCTTGGACAAGTTCTTGGAATTGAGAGAGCTCCTGAACAGGCCTTGATCAGCATACACGAGATGACTGTTCTTCTGAAATTGCAGAGAGAGAGAGAGAGAGAGAGGGAAGCCAGCACGCTGGCTTTTCCTCTCTGCCCCATATGGATATGCAAAAAACACTTCTGTCTGCTGAGACATAGGAACATGCTCAGCTCATATCCCAAATCACTATGTACCTTGAATTAGCTGTGCATATGAAAAAACTCTTAAGAAATACAATTCCAATTGGGAGCAGATTGTCCACCTGAGTTCAACCAGTATGAGCAGAGAGGCAGGGCCTGCTATATTAGAAGTAAATAGGAAAGCAGGCTGCCTTGTGTCTGTGCTCACTTGCCACACTTTTGCCAATGATGCATCCTTCTGCAAAGAAGTGAATATTTCCTTGTGAGAAAATTAAAGAAATGAGAGAAGTACAATTCATGGCATGTGGTAGAGGCACACTAAGCTGACTCAGAGAATGTCATCATTCAAGGGGATTCCCCAGAAGCAGAGCATGATTACAGCCAAGGAAGCTAGAACATGATGATTGCCTCACCCAACAAAGAACAGATGAGAGTCAAGTGGTGGGGACTGAGTGTGTTTTCTAGTAGCACAAACAACAGAAGGGCATGTGTGAGAAAAGGTGGCAGAAGCCATCTCCATGTTGCTCCCCATCACCAGCATTAGTAGGTCAGTATGGGCAGAAAACCTCTGACATTATAGAGAGGGAGAGAATTAAAGTTAAATTTCAACATCATCCCCATACACTGAGACCAGTGCTGGGGAAGTGCTTATAGTATCTACTCTTGGGTCCAGACCTTTAGATTGTGCCTCTGGAACTGGTTTAGGACAGAGAAGGAAGACACTGCCACAACCTCCCTCCTCCAATCTTGTGAATGACAGCAGGTATGGGAAGCAATCTCCTAGTTAGCATGGCATAAGAGTGGGTCAGGGTTTTTCTTCGAACCCTGTGTCAGGCATGTCATGGTTGGACCAATAATCCAGAATAAACTAGAGGCACTGTTTGGTCCTGGCACCACTGCTTCCATTAGAATCTTTCAGGAGGTGTTGGAAGGTCCCTGAGGCAGAGCCAAATGCCATTTGCATCAGTTTCCACCATGGGTAGAGAAGGTCCCTGAAGCAGAAACAAATGCAATTTGCATTAGTTTCCACTATGGGTGGAGTAGGCTGACACCTGTCTTCTTGCTTAGTCTTGTGAAGCCACTGTAACTATGTGACTCTGTTGTCATCTGGCTCAGTCCAGTCTCATTGCACAGTGAATAATTTAAGGACCACTGCCCTCGAAGGACAGTGCTCAAGATGTCACCAGGCAGAAACTTAAGTCGCTCTAGGAATTCTGCGTGTATTGGTCTACAGAAGCACAAGCTTTATTGTGAGCTCAGTGTATCCACATGACTGTTTGGGCTTTCTGGATGTAAGATTGAGTTTGAACACCTGGTGGTGTTCACCAAGGTAACTCTGTGGATTCCTTTTATTTTGTCAGTTGTGGTTTTTGAACTCTAATCCTCAGATCTGTCCCTGAATTTTTCAGCTCAAACCAGAGCTCTACCACTTCAGGCACAGTGCCACTTCTGGTTTTCTGAAGGTTTTTTGGAGATTAAAGTCTCATGGACTCCTGCCTGGGCTGGCTTTGAACCCTGGTCCTTAGATCTCAGCCTCCTAAATAGCTAGGATTGCAAGAATCAACCCTTGATGCCCGGCTTGTGGCTTTCTTTACAAACATTACCAAGCACCTGTGGCACAACATTGTTTTCCCTCCCACTTGGCATGGGTGGGACAGGGAAGTAAGATGGTGATATTGTCCCACAGCTTGTGGGCCTGGTGATAGCTCTAGAACTGTGCCATGACTCCACAGGCAGTACAACCTCTGGCAGAACTCTGTAATCACCTCATACCTGGGAAAGTCATCTACCAGTAGACAATCTGAATTCTATTCTAATTGTGTATGGTTGTGGCCATCTTGGCCCATGAGTCCACCTCTACCACATTCAACCTGGGTGGATCTTAATGCTCACCCAGTGCTGTCTGGTCTTGATTGCAATAGACTGAGGATGCCGTACTGAGACACCATAGACTTGGGGAAATGAGGCCTGGTTAATGCATGCCAGCAATTCAAAAATTCAAGCTTAAAGCTTGTACATCTACTTCCCTAATATTAAGGTAAAGAAGTTACTTATGGGCAAATGGAGTGTCATATATTAGGAGAAAATGAGGTATGATAAGCTCACAACAAATAGAGAGATATTCATTCAACTACATCCTTTATGATTAAGGGACCAAAGTCATTGAGTGGAAAATGAAGCTGGATAAATTGAGGAAAAAAATGAGTCCTGGTGAAGGCAACTCAGAAACATCTTGTCATCTCTCTTTGAAGCAAATATGACAGGGTGCATTTCTTCCTGAGAAATGCATTTCTCATCATATGAATTAACAGTTATCTGGCAATGTGTATGCCTTTCTCCCATAAAGCCTCCCCAAAACTTAAGCAACCTCCTACCCAAAATATGGACAACAACACATCTTCCTCATTTCAAGAGTAATCATCTGTTTCATGGCAGGATGATTTCTTATATGGAAAGAATGGCCAAAACATAAAGAAACTCAGAACGTGTAATACCAAGAGTGATTAGAGCAAAGATGAGAAAATTATGTTTGTGTAGCTTTGAAGTCAGATCTCCTGCCTTTAGCATCTAGATACCCCTAGCAGCCCAAGAGCTGTGTGTCTATCCTCTTTTAGAGTGTGTCTTTGCCTTTCTGTTTCCTGTTTGACTACTTGCTTGTTTATTTGCTTCCTTACTCAGTAAAGCTCTGCCACATTTTCTTACTGTTGTGACTTGTCTAGAAATTCTTCTGCGACCAGAGTCAAGGACCCTAATGAAGAGTCCCTACTTTTAGAGGGAAACTTCATTAAACATCACCTGTTTTGGTTACCTTGCTGGTTGATATTCCAGGTGTAAGAGAATTCTGTGGGCCACAGCTGTGACTAAGGCTTGTTCTAGCACACAGCTAGAACTGCCACTGCTAGGCAGAATCCACTCACAAGGGCATTCCCTGTGGATGAGGCCGATGGCCTCCCCACCACATGGCCCCAGGAGCAGGCATGCTGGGACCCTCCACTCACTGGGATTCTCCCTGAAGTTTGTAGAACCATAGAGTATTTGTCACCCAACTTGCCTTTGCTTTTCTTGGTACTCAGTTAGTTTACCACCTCACAGCTGTCTCCCATCAAAGCCTTTGCTCCCTCTAGTGGTGCCCTTGTGGAAGTCACTACAGACTCAGGAACCCTGAAGCCTGCCTGGAATTTCTGGAAAGACAGGCACAAAGCCAGACTAGGCAGACTGGTGTAATTCGAAGATATTTCAAAGTCCAGGTGGTGTCACATGCCAATATGAACCAAGAATGTTCCAGAACAATGAGATTTCCTAGGATTCGAAATAATCAGGTTGGGAAAATTCTCATAGAATCTCAACTCTCATGTTTTTGTTGTTGTTGTTGTTGATGATGTGCTTTTTTGTATAATGTAACTCTCAGGCTTGACAGCTAGAATGTCAATAATATTAAATATTAATCAGGTACTAGTGGCTCAGGCCTATAATTATGGCTACAAAAGAGGCTGAGGATTATGTTTTCTAGTCACTTTGGACAGGAATGTCTGTGAGACACTCATGTGCAATGAACCCCACAGAACCTGGTAGCAGAGCTGTGGGTCAAGTGGTAGAATGCCAGCCATGAGACAAAATGCTAAGGAATATCCCCAGGACTTGAGATTATGCCTGACTACCAGTGTGTGTGTGAACATGCACAGTCATACACACACACACACACACACACATACACACACAGAGTTCAATTAGAGAATGGACAGAGTAGAAGATAGCTCTGATATCTACCATCTGACATAGGTGGTACATATCTAATGCAGGGTTTACCCATGAGCCCCATCTTTATCACTTACTTCCTCACCATGTTCAGTTGCTTCAATATCTCTCACAAATCTCTCATGGAATAAAGTATTCCTCTCCTGAACAAACCCCATACAGGGCATTTCCATACAACTTGTCTGAGAAGATTCATCTGTGACTTCCCTAGTTTAGAGTGAATTTTGTAGATCTCAAAGTAGTGAGCTCACCTGGGTCAAATGCATGAATCAAAGTGTGTAGAAAACATATAAAAAAGCTGGGTGCCAGTGGCTCACGTTTGGAATCCTAGCTACTCAGAAGGCTGAGATCTGAGGATCGGGGTTCAAATCTAGCCAGGGCAGAGAAGTCGGTGAGACCCTTATCTCCAATAAACCTTTGAAAACTAGACATTTTCTACCACTTGAGCTGTGGCTCAAGTGGTAGAGCTCTAGCCTTAAGCTGAAGAGCTAGGGATATCACCCAGGCCAAGCCCTACAATTGACCACACACACACACACACACACACACACACACACACACATATAAAAAAACGCATTCAAATCTAGTTTAGGAAGTTATGAGCAGGGCAAAACTAGATAAGTCTGGAATGATGTTGGAGAACAAGTAATAGAAGCCGAGCTACTGAGAACGACAGAGGAGACAGGCCAAGACATGGACAGCAGTTCAGAGGCTCACATTAATTAGTTAAGGGAGAAAAAATTAAACATGTCTTGGATGTTTTATTCCTGGTCTGAACAGCAGTTCCCCATTCCAAGAATTTTGCTGACAGGAAATAACCCCAGAAGCAGAAACTGCATATCTATCCTAAGAAACATTGCCCTGAAGGAGGTCCAAACATTTGTCCTGTTTTGAAAAGTGCAAAGAACAGAATTGATTGATGATTCCCTGGCCTTTGACCTATGGATGGGGACATTGTGTGTTATTATGGATTCTTGTTCACTCCATTGACCCTGATCCAGGACAGATCAGGCTGAAGGAGTCACAGTGATGGTAGGGTGGTTGATATAGCTCTGGGAAAGGAGAGTGGAATGGAAGATGAACAGAGACCTTTCTACCCCTTGGAGGGAAGAAAAATATTCATCAGAAAACCTGAAATGAAGTAAAGCTGTTGTGGTGAGGGCAGTGTAGAAGGTCCAGAGAATGTCAATGGATGGAACCAAACTTCCTCCACCCCTGACTGATAATCAAACAGAAAACGCAAATTTTAAGAAAACCCAAGAAATTACTTACTGAAGGCTGTTGCTGCAGGGCAGGGTCATTCATGTTGCATACAAATTACCAAGAATAAAGGGGGAAAAACCCGGTAATCACCACATCCTTTCTGCTGTGTGCCACAGATTTCTCTGTGTAATTGCATCTGGCATCTTTGGAGGAACTGACCACAAGCGGAAGCAGGAGGAGAAACAGTGTCAGAGCCACAGGGAACATTGCTGCTGCTTTGGCATAGAGCTGTGATTCTGGCTGCAGACTGTGCCTGATGTGTGAGGAAGATGTCCAGGTGGATTTTCAGTTTCTGTGGCTTCTTGTGTCCTGGATGGTCACTAGGATGCACCACCAATCGCCTCCACTGTCTTAGAGTAATACAGGGCTCGTTATGCCCTCCAGCTCTGCATCTGGGGTCCGGCTTCAAGGTCAAAATACAAGTTGGAAAACATGTGTAGCACCTTCTTCTCCACACCCCAAGGGCTGTCATTTCATACAAGAGTGTCAATAATGAAACTTTAGGGATGGATTAATTTTGTGTTGAGTTGTTCACAAGCTTGTGTGAAGTTGAAAATTGAAACGAAAACAAGCACACAAAATAAAGGTTCATAGAAAATCTACTAGGAATGATGGGAATGGATGAGAACAGAGGATACCATGAGAAGGTCAAAAAGTGGTAGAGTGCCATGGCCAGCAAAGGCCCAATCAAAGTTATTAAACACAATCAAAGACAAAGATAGTCAGACTCACAAACCAAGGGCTAAGGGAGTGACAGAAGTTTGGTGAAATAAACCATTCAAGTTTGCATACCAACTCCACATGCACAAGCATCCAGATGTCAATGCATTTATTTACTGCTGCAAGTGTTACCAACAATGTCCCTGAATTCAGCCATTAAGGATCAATAATTCAAGGGTCAAGGCTCACTTCCAGTTGTACATTTTTCACTCAGAACCTAGAGCTTCTTCATCATTTGCATGTAAAGGGCATAGACACCCAGCAGACTAAATGGACCACATAGTAGATCATGCTGGCGCCTGGGATGTCTGAACTGTTTCTTCCTGCCAGCTCATCCTCAACCCTGAAGATTAGGCAAGGCTGGCCCATCCTATGTTGCCACATCCCAGCGACATGGCAATGCCACGGGGGTGGTGGAAACTCACAAGGCATTGCCAGAGCCTCCTGGGAAGGTATACAGACGCTTGCAGATCACAGTTTCCCAATCAGGTTGTGAGAAACAGAGGGGTGGGAAGTGCTGTCCCATGCTGACATCACCACCATGCATGTTGCCCACAACTGGGACAGGGGCAGGGGCAGGGTGTCAAAGGGCTTCTGGTCTATCTATCTATCTATCTATCTATCTATCTATCTATCTATCTATATATATATATATATATATATATATATATATATATATATATATACTATCTATCCATCTACTTACCTACTTATCTACCTATCCACCTATTTACCTATCTATCTAGGCTGAGTGTTCCAGAGAGGGGCAGATAGTGAGAGCCATGCTACAAGATGCTGCAAGAGACCTGCTTCCTGTAGCAGAGTAGTGCTGGGGCTCTCTTCAATTCTGAGTAGAGACCTGAGAAGCTGAGGCCAGTAGAAAATCCTGTACAGAGTGGAGAGGTCTTTGGAGAGCCAAGAGGCCCCCAGAGAGCTCTGCAGAGAGCAGAGAGCCCTGCGCAGTGTCAAGAGGCCTGAAGAGAGGCTTGCAGAGAACTGAGAGGCCTGTGCAGAATGGAGATGTCTGTGGAAAGCCTGAGGGCCTGTGCAGAGGCCTGTAAAGAGTGGTTAGGCCTGTGGGAAGGAGAAAGGAACAAAAACTCACCTGTTTGGAGGTTGGAGCTTCTCCCAGTTCTGAGGTAGCCTAGGGCAGGACAGTTGTGGACTGCCTCATAAAACTCCTCTGTCAACTTTAACTGTGCTTCTGTATTTTCTCTGTTCCTGGTCATAATGAGGCCACTCCATGAGCCCTTTCTCCACCTGTTAGAGCAGGAGACTCGCTTTTGCCTCTGGGAGCTTCCAGATCCACTCCTACCAGGCCAATCAACCTACAGTGCAGGCCTCACCCCACACACATCATGGCATCCCCAGACATGACAACCAATGTATCCCAGTAGTCCCTCTCCTCAGAGTGCACTAGCTACTGAGCATGGTTTTGCTGCTCTGTGGGAAGATGGGGCTCAGGGACCTGCTCTGGAAGGAGAAGGATACTTCCAGCATTCTCTGGGGCATGGGGAGGTCAGCATCAGCATGAAGGATACCTGGGCTTCAACTATGAGGGACAGCACACAGCTTTGGAATACTGCAGAGCCTTGTCCTTGCCAGCCTGTGGCAGGTCCTGAGCAGCAGGCCCGGAGCGGGGCAGGGCACTGGCAGGATTCATAACCTGCCATGGAGGGCTTCCTTTTCTTTCTTCCTCTGTTCACATGGATTGGGTTGATTTTCAGGTTAGATTATTTTTATGACTATGTGGCTTTAATATGTTAGTAAGGTTATCACTCTCTCTTTTTTTAAATAGAGGAATGATGGTTTGCAGAGTTGCATGTTAAGAATAAAAGGGAATGAAAAATGAATATAAATTTTCAATTTGGAAAAGTGTGTGAGGGTGTGTATGTGTTTGTGTATATATCAGCATTTCAAATCCGGTCCCTTTCTAGGCATTCTTACAACTTGGCACTTGACCAGTTGAGAAATGCCTCCAGCCCCAGGATTTTACTTGTAAGTTAGAGAGGGGATCTCATAGACTTTTCTGCCCAGGCTGGTTTTGAACTGGGATCTTCAGAGCCCAGCCTTTAAAGGGAGCCACAGGAATGTGACTCTGAAAAACAATGTGGTTAATATGTAAATTAACAATAAATTTAATAGTAAATTTCCACAAGTATGTGAAAATTTAATATACATTACTCAAGTCAGTATTTTATAACAGTATTATGTGTATGGTGTGTATTTTAGTCCAATATAAATGGAGATGGAACACTATTGGATCTTAAAAAAATCAGCAGTAAATAAAGCACTGGAAGAAAGGACACAATATCTTTGCTAGAATAGCTAAAGAAATTCAAAAAATCTACTGTGGGTATTCTCTTCTCTTCTTCCATTTATTTTTGGAAGTCCTTAGCGATTTGGTCCAATAAGATGCACAAGTTGGCTAATTGTGAGTGCTGGGCATTGATTCTCCAAGGTCATATGGAAGTCAATGATGAACCCATTCTTTCCCTCCTTCACTTGAATGTCTTCAGGACAGGTGTGGTTTACCTGTTTGTATCCTCAGGGACAGAGGCTGGCACTGGCCAGCTCCTGGTCGGTCAATCCTATGGACACACCAGGCTTGAAAAGGTCTTTGGTTCTTTACCCCTTGGTCATGCCTAAAGACAGAAGCAGCTTAACCCAGTAAATCTTTTATTTATTTATTTTGTTGGTGATGGGGCTTGAACTCTGGGCATGGGCACTGTCACTGAGCTCTTCAGCTCAAGGTGAGAACTCTACCACTTGAGCCACAGTGCCACTTCTGCTTTTCTAGTATTTTATTGAAGATAAAAGTCTCATGGACTTTCCTGTTTGAGCTGGCTTTGAACTATGATCCTCAGATCTCAGCCTACTGAGTAGCTAGGATTATAAGCGTGAGTCACCAGCACCCAGGTGACTCAGAAACTCTCTTTGTTCTTCAGGTTTTTGTTTTGTGCTGGTTCTGAGAGTTGAACTCAGGGTCTGGGTGTTGTTCCTGAGCATTTTTTTCTGTGTGGAAGGGCTAGTGCTCTGTCACTTGAACCACACATATATTTCTTTTCGTTCAATTTTTTATTATTAATTTTTTATTGTGAAAATACTGTACAGAGAGATTACAATTACATGAGCAAGGTAATGAGTACATTTCTTATCAAGCATTGTTGCCTCCTCCTTTGTTTTTCCCTTACCATCCCTGCCCTCCCATTTCCACGCCTACCCCCTACCCTGCCAAAATTGTAAAGTTCATTTTTTGACATAGCATCTTGTACATTTCATTGTTGCAATGGGTCCACCTGTATCCCTATTTAAACAATTTTCCCTTCCCCTCCCCAAATTATACCAACATCAAATACAGTGAAAACAGGGGCTATACTGTGGGGGAGGGACATACAAAGCAACAAAACTCACCTTATAAATATGTTAGAAGCAATAGCAAGAGAGAAAAACCACTTGAGTCCTTATCTTGGGGTTCATTTCACCAAACATCAACTTATCTGACCTTTTCTGCTTGTCTCAGACATATACTAATTCTTGCAAATAAGCATTATTCACCATAGCTAAGATATGGAACCAATCCAGATGACCCTCAGTAGATGAATGGATCAAGAAAATGTGATATATATATATATATATAAATACACAAATGTATATATATATAAATACACAAATGTATATATATAAATACACAAATGTATATATATAAATACACACACACACACACACACATATATATATATACACACAAACACAATGGAATTCTATGCCTCCATCAGAAAAAATGGCATTGCCCATTTGTTAGGAAATGGAAAGACTTGGAAAAAATTATATTACGTGAAGTAAGCCACAGATACACTTCTGGCTTTTGTTGATTCATTGGAGATAAAAGACTCGTGAACTTTCCTGCCCCAGGCTGGCTTGGAACCCTGTTCCTCACATCTCAGCTCTCAGAGGAGCTAAGTTTACAGGCCTGAGACACTGGGGCTCAGCAAAGAGTGAGTGATTTTAATGTAACTTGTAAGTGTTTAGACACAAACTGTTACAGCTGTGTTTGCAATGTGCTGGCTGCTTCTGGACATAAGGTATGAGACCAGGATAATTCTGGTAGGTTGTCCTCTTTGACAGGGCAAACATCCATTTTATATCGCTGAGACTACAGGAACAGGTCCCTTGTATCCTAGATTCTCTCCTTAGAAATTTCTTAATGCTTCCTTCCTCTTCTAGTGGAATGTGATGAATGTATAATACAAGGGTAAATTCTACTAGTAGTATAAAGTGATAAGTTTAGACATAATAAAAGGCAAACATATGATTGAATCTGAAGCTTCCTTGTTCTCATTTCTCTAGTGGGCAACTGATCAGAGACTTCATAGACATTTGCCTTGTAGTCTAACATTCATTCACTTTGTTTAGTTATGTTTTGGTTCTCATTAAGGCTTTATTGTAGCAAAACCTATCAATTCACCCATGTTGTATACATACTAATCCAACAATAGTAGTCAGTAAATAATCACCTATGTAGAACAGTAAGCACTCTCTTCTTTGATTTACTGTGACTGGGAACAATCGTGTGGCTTCAGACATTTCTGTCTTTGTGCAGATGCTTTTCTACCTTCCAGCAATGACCCAGCAGAATAAGAGACAGCGCTGTGTGTGTCTCTGTCATGCAAATGTGGGTGAGTTCACTCCACTGAGGCATAGCTACAGCATTGAACGATGTCAAGATCCCTGGACTCTGAGACATGTGCTAACTTGACTTTTGCCCTCCTCCTGGCTGTAGATTATGTTGGTGTCCTGACAATGTCCCACTTCAAGCTCCTGAACATTTCTGATTTCTTCAGGGACTCTCCTGGACTGTTGAATCACTCTCATTCTCATAGAATCTTAAAGGACCCTGAGAGATATTGAGTCTGAACCTGTCTAATGTTTTGTCATCTCTTTTTCTCTTATGATAAATGATTCTGTTTCTCTATCCATTAATATTGAGGATCTTTAGGGGCTGGGAAGACAAGGCTCAGCTTGGGCAACTGTGTACTCTGTAGCTTCAGCTAGCTGTTTTGTTGGACAGCTCTAGTTATGTTGGTGCCCTGGTATGTCTTCCAGAGAAAAGTGCACATGGTAAAGTGGAGCAGATTAACAACTAATTCTAAACTTTTAAGGAAGAAAGAGAAAGAGTGTGAGAGAGAAATTTTGTTTTTACAAAAACACACCCAGTGATGTGGCAAAACAGAAAACATGTGAACAGAAATACACAACTGGGTCAGAAAATGTACTCTAGTTATTGTAATCAAAGCATGAAAACTTTCCCCAAGACAAATTTTCTTGTCTCAGTGAGCTTAGCAATGTAGTGATATTCAGGCAGCAAGATAGTCTATGTAGGAAATGTAATGACGACAGGGAACTAAAGGAAAGGAAGAAGCTCAGTAGAAAATGTACTCAAAAGGACAATTGATAACATAAATGGCAACTTCTATGGGAAGTAGCAAAGTATATCCAGGATAAAATGCAAATATAAAAGGTCTTGGTGGAACCTTGCTGTGACTCTAACATAAGCAGCAAAATGAATAAGAGTAAATTCCTTGTTCAAGAAATTCCTCAAGTAAAACTGTTTTTTTTTCTTTTTTTTTTGTAAAAATGTAGGATAATGATCACATTTCATAGCCAGCATTAGTTATCTCCTCCTTTATTTTCCCCATACCATCACTTCGCTCCCTGACTCCTAAACTAGTCCCACTACTCCCCGCCACCCTGACAATGTAATGTTAGTTTACAATATAGTGTCCTGTACAAATTTTGCTTAACATTATTTCATGTGGTCATGCACATAGCCTTTGACCTTCTTTGCTTGTCCTAGACATGTACCAAATTAGTATAGATTGGTCTCAGAACTTCTAATTAATCTAGGCAACATTTATGTTCATGTTAAGGTTCATTTCTTCCAGATTGTGATCTCTTCCCAAATCTTTGCAAAGTATTTCTCTCAGGTCTCATCAAGATGATGTAGCACTTGGGGGCAAAGATGCAGCCCAGGAGGCCTGCACTGGAGACCAAGATGGAGAAGACCTCCACAGCCACCATGACCTTCCCCTTTGCACTGTGGTAGACAGGCAGGAAGGTGAGCCACACACTGCAGAACACCAGCGTGCTGAGGGTCAGGAACTTGGCCTCATTGAAGGTGTCAGGCAGGTTCCGGACCAGAAAAGCCATCGTGAAGCTGGCCATGGCTAGGAAGCCCAGGTATCCCAGGACACAGTAGAAGGTGATGGGAGAACCCATGTTGCACAGGATGATGATGTGGCCATGTTCAGAGTGTTCATCTGTGTCCACAAAGGGAGGAGAGATTCCCAGCCACAGGCCACAGAGAGTCACCTGGATGAGAGTGCAGATGGGGATGATGAGGTTAGGAGCCTGGGACACCAGCCACTGCCTCGTGCTTCTCCCAGGAGCAGTGAGTGTGAAGGCCAGAACCACAGTGATGGTCTTGGCCAGGACCGTGGAGACAGCCACAGTGAAGACCACTGCAAATGTGGTGTGTTGTAGGATGCACGAGGCTGTGTGGGGACGGCCAAGGAAAAGCAAGGAGCAGAGGAAGCAGCAGGTGAGGGAGGTGAGCAGGAGGTAGCTGAGGGCCCGGTTATTGGCCTTGACAATGGGGGTGTCTTGGTGCTTGACAAAGACTCCAAGAACAGCACAGGTGAGTGCAGAGAAGCAGAGAGCCATGCAGGCCAGACCCATGCCCAAGGGGTCTTCATAAGTCAAGAAGCTTTCAGCTTTCATCAGGCAGCAGTTTCTTTCGGTGTTGGCAAAGTGATGATCTGGACACTTCACACATTGGTTCATGTCTGGTGAGAAGTGAGAATCACTATTAATCTGTGTTCAATATTTCCTCAGGCCCATTAGCTCAAATGGCCTCATTTGGCTACTTAGCCAATTGACCTGTTGACGGAATGAAATAATTGTCAGTACAATATAGTTGTAGGTGAATTTTCTTTCTTTCATACATTTTCCTTCCTTCCTTCCTTTCTCTCCTTCCTTCCTTCTTTATTCTGCTTCCTTCCTCTCCCTTCCTCCCTCCCTCTTTCTTTCTTTCTTTCTTTCTTTCTTTCT